TCAATTAGCAAGTACAGGAATCTCCAACTTATTCACAATATTCCAAATTCAATTAGGGCATGAGAAGGTTGTAACTCATATTATTCCAAAGTTAATTGCCAACCATTGATATATGAGACAGTAGCTTGCCCATTAATGTTTACTCTGACTTCTGTACCCCATCCAGTTGGGTTTAGGTTAAGAAGAAGAGGTTCGATATTGTATGGTTCCAAATAAATTTCTCTCTTTTTTTTGGTACATTGGATGGTTCCGAACCCTCGACCTAGCTTACTCTCACCCTCATCACTAGGCTAACCCCACTTGATAAATTTCCTTTTATGTACAATGTGGATAAGCATGTAGGGTTTTCATCACAGATTGAGTGGAGGGGATACCTCAGAGAAGAAAAGAAAAGATTGAGAGAGACCAGAATTTTGTTGGGTTCTGCAGTCATTTCATTAGATGAAATTTGCAATATTGATTGATCCTCAGTTGAAATATTTAGTGTTTTTTGCTTTTTTGACATATTAAAAAGGCTGTCACAGTAGGTTACTAGGTTATCTGATCGCAAGTCGTTTAGGAAAGCAACAATTGATTTGGGTGGCTTTTGTCTAACTTTGATTTGTTCGAAGAGTTTCCCCGTTCGTGCTTGTGCTCCTCTATCGATCCTTGTTGCTTTCCCATCACATCTCATCTGAAAAGCCAAAGATGTGTCTGGCTCTTGAAGCTCCATTAATTTAACATTTTCCCCAGTGAATGCGTATAATTTATCAGCCCTCATTGTATATCTTTGCATTGTGCTATGACTAACTGGCCAAGGTTATATATCTGTTATCAAGGCTCTTAACTTATGCCAAGTATTTTAGTAGCTGTATATAGATTTCCATCTGCAATATAAATTACAAGATCCAGATACTAGAGATGCATGAATTAAGTTCATCCAATTCTAAAAATTAATTAATTAATTATCTAATTAGAAGGAGATAAAAGAGAGAAAGCTGCAGAACCTTAATTACAGAAATATTACAAAACTCATGTCATTTCATTAGATGAAATTTGCAATATTGATTGATCCTCGGGTGAAATATTTAATGTGTTTTGTGCTTTTTTGGACAAAAAAGGCTGTCGCAGTAGGTCATCTGATAGCAAGTCGGTTAGGAAACAACAACTGATTTGCGTGGTTTTTGTCTAACTGTGATTTGTTCAAAGAGTTTCACCAATCGTGGTTATTCTCCCCTATCGATTCTTGTTGCTTTCCCATCACATCTAATCTGAAAAGCCAAAGATGTCTGCCTCTTGAAGCTCCAATAATTTAACATTTGCCCTAGTGAATGCCTATAATTTATCGGCTCTCATTGGATATCTTTGCATTGTGCTATGACTAACTGACTAAGGTTATATATCTGTTATCACGTCTCTTTAACTTATACCAAGTATTTTTCTAGCTATATATTTGCAGTAAATTACAAAATCTAGTGACTAGAATAAGGTTGTTTAGCTGTATATAGATTTCCATCTGCAACAAATTACAAGGTCCAGTGACTAGAGATGCATGAATTTCATCCAACGCTAAAGATTAATAAATTAATTATCCAATTAGCGGGAGATAAAATAATGTCAACATTAGACGAGAGAAAGCTGCACAGAACCTTAAGTACAAAATATTAAGGGGAAGGTACAGAGTAGAGACTTTCAGGCTTTTGAGTTCTTGTACGTGAATTTTTTTACCACATTCATTGTCCAGTTATTTAATTAGCTAGAAAGCTAGCAAAGTATAATTGATCCGAAATATATGGAATGGAGAATTCGGAAGTTTCCTAGAACTATATTTATTGTTTAGATTTGGGCTTGTTGCCCATGCTCTTCCTTATGCACTCAAGTTTAAATTTTCGTCCTTTTAATTTAGAATTAGTGCACATATAATATTAGTTGTATGAAACTCTTAAAAATATATGATTCATTATTCTGGATACATCAATCTAACTTACTCTATCAATATTACATTTACTAACAAGATTTTAGCTTTTTTTTTAATATAAAAACAAGATTTCAGTTAAGTGTATAAGAAAGTTAAAGAGGAAAAATTCGGCTGGGGCTAGGGTTTGTAAACTGTAAGCTCATGTATATGCATGTGGATATATATACAGTGTAGAGTGTCGACATAAAGGGCATGTTGTCCTGCATAGTGCACTTAAAATAAGGGCGCTTTTGGAGCGGTGAGTGTTGTCATATGTAGATCTGCAATATGAATCTCTTTCTCATAGTGTCGACATGGGTATCAAGGAGAAGAGGTATGGGACTATGGGAGCAAAGCACAACAAAGTTTATAAGTTGTATGAGAAAATCTAAGGGCATCGAGAGTATTAATGTATAAGAAATTAATTCTAATTTCTACAAATTTATATTGAATTTTTGTATGTGTTTGCATTCAATTCTGAACAAATGAACACAATTTCATCACAGCTTACATCAGGATGAGCCACACTTTTATTTATTTATTTGTAGACTTGAATATTTTTTCCAAGTATAGCACTAAATCATTTTGGGTGATGAATACTTAAAATCACCTACATACTAATGTAGTTTGAATTGTGCGTTTTGGACTTTTTTGGGATGTGCATATAGGAAAGGTATCCTCTTCGGATTCATTTTGTGAGGATTCTAGGATCCCCACATCTTAGTCGTTCATCGTATATCGTGCTGTCAGTTTTCGTCAGATACTATTTGTGTTTAACTTTAAATATAAAAAAATCAAACGATTTCTGACCGCACGATACACGATGAATATCTAAAATTTAGGGATCCCTAAGATCCCCACAAAATGGATCCCGATGAATCCAATTCCGTGAATATATAACATTACCTAAAAGATAACAAAATTTAATATTCATGTAAATTTATTGGCTATAGTCTACAATATTTTTATCAGGGACACCACCTTGAGTGAGTTGACCATTCTTATCACCAAAAGAAATTGCCATTCCCTTGCATCAATTGACCAACTATATCGATATACACACAAGAGTTTCTCTACCTATAGCCGATTTAAGAGATTTGTTATGTCACTAGTTTATTATGTGACAATTGTTTGTTCGACAAATAGTGTATTTTTAAACACGTGTGACAAATATTAATTGGACAGTAACGCTACTGAGATTATATAATAGTTGCATGAGAGAACCTCTTCTAATTCAAGATTCTTTCACTTAGTTGCATTTTTCTGACTTATCAAAGAAAATATGAGTTTTTCACCCTACAAATAGAGAATGAATTACATAAAACAAAAACGTAATGTCATGCCCGGACCTAAAGTCGCTAAAAAAGAATGATCTGGGTCGAAGGGGCTTGACGCGTAAAGATGATAGTGCTCTTAACCTATCACTTATTATCATGTAAAGATTAAAACTCATGCCATATTAGAATAAAAAAAAGTATATGCAAGTTCTTCTCCACAAATCAAGATGTAAAATCATGAATAAAGTTAATTCACACATGACTAGACTCTGAGTTACCATAACCAGTAGGATAACACTTAGGGCACTCAAGTGAGTGCTCTATGTACTTAATTTCTGATTTGGTCCAATTATGAATTTTACTTGGTTGAACAATGTACACTTTATTTTTAGAAAAAAATAAATAGATTTATGAATTTTACTTAGTTAAACAAATACATTGATTTGTTAGTTCGTAAAATAAGAAATTAAATACAATGTACAATATTTAAGAAAATAAAGAATACCTTAATAGATTATTAAGTTACTAATTAATCGATAAATTAATAAATTATCGATTATTTAATTTTCACTAAACTAATAAATTTTCTTCAGTTCCAAGGCTATTAATTTATAAAGGTTTAACTATAGTTAGCAAAATGCAAGATATAGGACAGAGGGTAGTACTATCTACACACTCATTTTTACTTCTCATACACCCTTCTCAATTTTCAACCATCGGATTGAATGAATTGAAGAATATCAATGACATAAAATTAACAAGGATGTGTGAGAGACAAAAATAGATGTGTGAATAACCTATCCATAGGACAATAATACTTGATTGAAATCCAATTCCACCTTAAGCAAGAGTTCCAAGACCAACTATTTTTGCCACGTCCAACAACTATTTGGCCTCCTCTCACAAAGGAAGGATATATATATATATATATATATATAACAATATTTCTGGTAGCCGTCAAACCCAATAACCGTGGATAATTGTCCGAATGGAGCGGATTTGGGTATGAAAATTCATGTATATTATGGATATGGGAAAAAACTATGAACTTTATTCGGTTATAGTTTTAGGTATGGTTATAGAGGTTCACAATTCATATCCGTCGTAGAATCCGAACCAAATAATATATAATATATTTCATATATAATATAATATTTTATTATTATATAAAATATATTATATATATATTTTTTTTATATTTGAGTAAACCTCTACCATTATTACTATATTCATTATTCACCGCATAAATATTTAGTATATAATATAATAGTATTTGTTGAACTCTATACTATATTCATTATGCACCAAACATCATGCTTATGGGAGATATCAACAACCAACATCATCAATGTTTTATTCAATACTCTTGTTTTTATACTTTGCAAAATTCATTCATTGTTATGTTTTTTATTATTGGAGCTATTTAATGATGAAATTAGTATATACTAAATTATTGTGCGTCAATTAGATGAATATAGTTTTTTTATTTTGATAAATATGGATATAACTGTTAACCGATAGAAAATTCGTTAACCAATAAGAAATCCGTTATCCGGTAGGTATAGTTCTGGATAATCTCCGATGATTAATTTATGGTTATAAATATAGTTAATTTTCATGATTATAAGGATGGATATAACAATTTCGCCCCCAAACCAAACTATTGTCATCCCTATCTGATAGAAAGAGTGCACTGATTGAGCTCAAAAGAATAGGATAGGCTCAGCCCAAAGGAGACCATCTACACAAAACCAATAAAAGGGTCCAGGAGACCATCAAAAGAAAAGGATGGGCTCAGCTCAAAGGATATATCACAGATACAGAATGTACAACATTTAAGTCTTAACATTACTACATTTAGGTCGAATATTAGAATCAACCAAATACTTGATACAATGATATCACATATCATCGTGAATATTTCCAGCTCAAACACCAGTGTCAAACATCATAGGTCCTCCGATGCTCCCGCCGACACCTTCATTGAGAGCAAACCTCATGTCCTCAGATGGTTTCCAATGCCTCTTCCTCTGGTTTATGAACCAGTTGTTAATCTGCTTTTGGTCCAATCCAGTCATCTCAGACAGCTGGAGTTTCTCCTCTTCCTGTGTACACATGTTTACCATCGTCAAATTCTGAAATAATCCTAAACACACACAGAATTGGGGGGCGAACTTGCATTTGAAATAAGCCTTTACGCTATATATGGATGAATTACACGTTATAGTCCATGTTTGTTTTCCATTAACTTTAATTGTAAACCAGAAAAGACATTGTAATGAAATTACCGTAGGATATGGCCACCTATAGTGAGTAATCCACCAGTCCGATAGGGTACTCCTGGCATCCTTTGGTAGTTTCCCTTTCTTTCTTTTCTTTAAGAACTCCTTCCTCAAGCTGCTAAGGTAGCCACTGTACTTATTCAGCAGCATATCTTTCAGTTCCCGATCACCACTAGAACGAGCACCACCAGTGTCTTGACCCTCTGCTGCTTCCACCTCCCCACAGCTAAGTTCCTCCTCCGAACTGCCAACCCCTTCATCTGCATTACTAAAAATTAGGCCGCAATCCTATGTTAAGCATATAATATTGCAATTTACATGCAAGTCTCACTGTCCCCTAGCATCCCAGCTACTCAAACTTTAGAAACGACCACTAATATCTCAACTGAATGTACCATGAATAAAGAAAGGAAAACATAACTTGGGGTTTTGGAAAAGGATTATTGATTGGAGATGTTATATTCACACTCCAAAAAATCATCTTGCACTCCTTGTGCATGATGATCTTTTTAAAGTGCTAATTACTTTTAATTCAATAGTCAGGCCAAAACAGGTAGATTAATTTTAATTACTTTTAGCCGACCAGAGATTATAGATCATTTAACCTATCCCCATTTTCTTCTACCCGATAGACCAAACTTGCGATCGAACTAAGTTGACTATCGTAGGGTGTTCCTACCCTTCATCCAAGTTCAAGTTCAAAGCTCTCTCCATAGTTTATATTAGATTAATTAGAATATCACTCGAATTAAATAAAATACAAAAACTTAAACTCTAGATTTCATTCACAATATCTTCCTATTAGGATCCCTACTATTATTAGGACAACTTACTTACGTATAGAAATGAGGGTTTTTATGTAAAATGAAGGCAGTTTGTTTTTTCTAACTGAAGAAAATAATTCTCTCTTCAAAACCTTTATATGGTCCATTCACCTTAAGTGGTTTTATAGAGAAACACCGCTCACATATTTCTCTCCATAAGTGATTCTGGTCATCCTAAAATAACTTCCAAACAGTCGTAGAAGGCTTAGTGAAACAATTGATATCTCAATGGAGTTATGAGGGAGCATAAAAAACACCATCATGTTATTCTCATCCCAAATGTCATGATCTGTCCATATAAAACAAAAACCAATTAAATGAAAGCTAGGTACAATCTCGTACGCATACAACCCCCTTTGGACTGATGAATAAACAGATGTATATGCCTGTACGTATCTTCTTCTTCGTACAATTGGAAGAAGAAAAAAGAAACCAAAACCTAGACTGGATGAAAAGGAAAGGAAAATGTATATATAAGCCACTGAGATTAGCGGAGTGGTGACAGTGGTTAGGGTGATAAGTACGAGTACGTTCGGGGTTCAAAACGGAGGTGTGGACTGTCTGCCCTTCCATTTCCATAACCTGTCCTTTTGTTTGTGTGGTCACAGTTAAACCACATCAACATTTTATATTTTTATTACTTTTTATTTTATTACTTTTATAAAAATTTAATATAAAATATTGAGATAGCTTAAGTGATCATAAACCACAGGAGGGCTAGGAAAAGTATGGAAATAGAAGGGCGGCCAATCCAAATCTGTTCAAAACCTCCAACATAACTAAATTGAAAAAGGAAAATGTATATACAGCAGAAGAGATTTATTTATACCAGAGTGATAGTCCCAGGTTTTTGAGAATGTCCCTTTACAGAGGTTGCTAAGTTGAGTTTGAATGTTGGTCAAGAATGTGGTTGCTTCATCGAATGGTTTAGATAGCTCCTCCTTGTATCTATGGAGAACCTCAATATATGATTCCTTGCAAAACAAAGAACGAAAAGAAATAGATGTAACATTATTTAAGTCCTAGTTTTTCTGTACATTTTCCTTTCTTTTCTCAGAAATCAAACAGAATTTTACGAGTTCAAAATGCCACAAAAGAAATAAGTAACTTGAATAACTAATTAATATGGTGTAGAAGCTTCAAAGTGGATAAAACTGTATACCATGAACTCGTCAAGTTCAGGATCAGCTCCTATCTCACTGCAAGTGCTCATGGGGTGGCTTGCCCTTTCAATTTCTTCAAGCAGATTTTTCATCTCCGCTGGTGCTCCAACCTATAAAAGTAAAAAAATTATTTTACGAAAAACTCAAAATAACCAATCAGTATAATTAAAACCCTGCATACTGCCCAGTGGTGAGGGTGCGTGTAGATTGATGGTAGGAGTAGGCTAGGTTAAAAGCTCGAAACCCTGAATGTAACTAAAATATTCAACAAATAATGCCACGATTTTGTAGCCTCTGTTACTTCCAGTTACATCTTCTTCTTTTTTTTCAAGGTACAGTAAGTACTAAATAACCAGAGAATAACACAAGAAATCATTAATGTTTGCAAAATTCAGTAAGGATAAAAGAATATTCATGCACTTGTGCATTATTAATTAACCTTTTGGCATTCAAGGTATGCAGCTACTAAATCAGGGAGACGAGGATGACTGGCTATCTGGGACTTTATCAGATCAGACATATGATCGGATCCCAAACCCTCCGTCGCAAATAACAGCATGTTATGATCATCCACCACATGACCACTGCCATGAAACCCACCACAATTGGCGCTGCTAGTACTAGTAGCCATATTTTCAACTTGCTGATGAACATTCACATGATCATCTGAGCCTGCAGATATCACACCTGCGTTCATCCTGTGAAAATCCTCCATACGTATATTTCTCTCAAAGAAAAAAGGAGCTAAAAACTAAGCAACAATAATGTAGCGATACTTGTGAGTGAGAGTGCAAGTGTGAGCGAGAGAAAGAGAGACCGGTACTAAGAACCAAGGTTTTTCTTTTCTTTCTTTTTTGTTTTTGTTTTCTTGTGGGGGAGTTTTCACATGGAAATTGACCAGACTTTACTTTCTTTTCCGAGAAAAACCTGAGAAAAATAAAAGACAGAGAGAAAGTGGAGAAGGAACATCAAGGAACTGTTGTTTGTGCGTGTGAGAGAGAGAGAGAGAGAGAGGAGAGGTATTGAGAGCGAGACTGCTATTACACAGAGGATAATAGGATGAAACCGTGTAGGCTATTAGAGCCCGTATATATAGAGGTCCACCAGTCATCTTCCTCAGTGCATGGAACTTTGGAATTGCCTTTAACTGTGACATGACATTCTTGATACGTTTCAAAACCCTATTGGTTCATAAAATGACACGTCAATGGTTGGTAGGTCCAGTCTGTGCCTGCATAAAAGGCTTTACTCTCCTTGTAGGCTTGTACTTTATTACGACTCACCCCATTTTCCTGTTGTTTTCACCGCCACAAACGTGGTTGGAAAGTGTGGGAACAAGAACCAGATAATTAGATGATTACCCTGCTGTTGCATTTAAATTCACGTAAAAATTCACCGTCAAAGACCTGGTTGGGTAGTGTCGTAACAAGCAACAGAAAATTAGAGGATCAACCTGCTGTTGCATTTAAATCCAGGTATAAATTTGATTGGTCTGAAATGACATGAATAAGTGAATTTGCTGCATGCATGCATGCATGTTGTCATGCTTTCTCTCACACATGAGGTATGTGCAAGATGCAAACAATATTTACATGAGTTCTACGTATTTACAAATCATTGAAACATATATAATATTTCTTCGGCAATTAAATTACAATTTGGAAAAATAAGCATCCCACTACTTTTCTATGAGATCCATAAGTTCCTTTACGTGTACATTCTTGGAAGACAATTTCTAGTTTTTGGAAGTGGATTGTCTGCCCTCCTATTTTTATATTTTCCTCATGTCCTTCTGTGATGTGTGATCATGATTAAGCCACATTAATATTTTATATTAATTTTTTTATAGAAATATTAAAATAAAAAGTAATAACAATATAAAATGTTGACGTACCTTAACCGTGACTACACAAATAGAAATGCATGAGAAGAGTATGGAAATAAGAGGGCAGATAATCCACCTCCCTAGTTTTTACCCTCAAAGTGATTGACTATTGACCCAAAAACACCATAAATGATTGTGTTATCTTTTAACAAATTTTTTCTCCTGTTTTTCTACTCTCTTATTAACAGTAGAAGACTAGAAGTTACTCTTTTAAAATGAGAAAGTGAGCCATTTACCTCAATGCAAAATCTAAGGCGGATTTTATTTTGTATATTTATTTTAAGTTTCTTTCTTTTATTGTTCCAAGAGAAGGGAGAGTATATCATGTGTTTTCTTAAAGAAATCTTAACTGAGAGAGAATTACCAAAAAAATAATAATACAAGAAGAGGGGAACATACTATTGGACCCTCTAAAATAAAACTTAAAAAGTGCCTTAAAAAAAACTACAAAACAATAAAGACACCATGAAGGAAGACAAACTTGTAGGCAAGAATGCTAAAAAACTACAATGAAAAAAGAGGAGATATTATGTCAAACAGGTGAACACAAGGGTAACTCTAAATTGGCTAATTTGTCAGTAGCCACATTCTCTTCTCGAAACATATGAAAGTAATGGAAAACAATATGCTGCAATTGGGAAAAAAAATATTTCCAACGAATCCAGAAGGGCCAAGTAAGAGAAAAAGAGCAAGAAGTGAAGCAAAAGATCACCCTAAAAGAGTCACTTTTAAGTCACAAATTTTGTCAACCACGTGTATGAATAAATTCTACATCAAAGATGACAACTTGAATCTTCGCATGCAAAGAAGTATGATACCCTGGAATAAACCACCAAAAATAACTCGTAAAATTTCGAAAACTACACCACAAGTTGTGAGAAAATACATATAATCAAATATCAAGAAATCAAACATTTTAATTTGAGCATAGTTAGTAAAATATGAAACGAGTATTATACATATAACACGTGTAATATTATGGTTCAATGCACACACAACACAGGAGGAAAAAAAAAAAAATTAATGTTGTAATCTCGTCCAGGCTACCTACTTCAGGGCCCGGCTAATATATATTCCACCTGAAATGGCCTACAACTTGATGGCTATCTTGTATTTGGTCAAACGACTTGTTTTTATTTGTCACTTTTATTACTCCTTGGCATTTCTTGTACATATTCAACCTAACTCTCTTTTGTTTTGTTTTTTGGTTGACAAGTGCGCGCTAAAGTTTTAACTATGTACATAAATATTTCTCATATCACCTTGAAGCCAGAAGGAGAGACAAGGGTAAAGGCCGACTATTTGTGCCTGTGGAAGCAACAGAAAGGCCTGTTTAATAAGCCTAATTTACTGGACATAATTCAGTTGAAAGTAATGGAAAATCGTATTGTTTTCTTGACCTATCTCATGTTTAATTGTATCCCTTAAAATTGCATAATTTAGTTAATAAATTTACGTGTAATACAAGTATTATACATGTAAATACATGTTTCTTTTAAATATTTTCATTTGTCGTACATTTATCAATGATTTCTTAAAATTAACGTTTAAAAAAAAAACCTTTGACGTACTATACACGTACGAACATACTTTTGACGTTTAATACACATAATTTTGCACATTTTTTAGTTATAATTCTACAAGTATTATACACCTATATACATATAATTCTTCGTAAATGCTTCGCATATTGTTCTCTACCCTATTATATTAATTACATTGCATAACTAATAAGAAAGGAAAAGGTCATTGCCACACTAAAAAAGGTGTTTTTTTTTTTTTTGAGCACATCGATATTTTTACATTAAAGAGAGGAAAAGTTCGACTAAGCCACACAATGGGCAGCCTAATTTCGTATCAAATTCGTCATCCATGAGATTCGAACCTAAAACTTCTCACTTTCAAATGAAGAGGAATACCACAAAACCGTAGTGAATGATTAAACAAAAAAAGAAGTGCACTTAACACTCTTTTCTGCCTCCTTATTGCTGTCGGACTATCTCATATCCGATCATCATTATATTTGGTTGATAATGCAACCTTTTGAACACCAAAATATACGGAGCTAGGAAAAGTGTAAAAGAAAGGATCCTGGTTTTTGTTTTTTTGTGTCTCACATGATTTTTCTAATTGATTACTTAACAACATTGTCTTCTCTTAAGCATCAAGGATTGTCCTCTAATGTTATTATGGTAAATACAAGATATGCCAAAAAATAGTAAAGGAGTGACCAAATATATTATGGTGCTTCCGAGCAAATGACTGCATTTCCCCTTAGTTTACTTCAATTTGTTGTTATAACATCTTCTTTAGTCATCTCTTTAAATGAAAAGAAAAATATTAAACTAGGGCCATTTTGGAGGGAAAATAGTGGACTTTCTTTATATAATCCTTAACAAGGAATGCTAACACCTTGAACTTTCAACTTCTATTTTTCTTTTTCTTATTTTGCAATGTTGCATGAAAAGATTACTTAGGCAGATCGTTGACTCCACCAAATTGGCTATTCATTTATTTTTTGACAAAAGGTAGTATTAATGGGTTAAATTATTAATTGTTAGGGTAGAGAGGAATCAATGGAGATTGAACTCAAACCATACTGCATAAACATGAATACTTTTGTCACTAAAGTAAAGTGTCGTCTGCAAATTGGCTATCCCTTTCAATGACCAGGTGATAAGTTATTGATATTTGCCTAGAAAAATAGTCTTCCACCGCCATAATTTAGCCTTCTTTTTTTATTTTTTTTAATAAACGATATTATCTATAATAAGGGATGAGGGGGATGGGCTTAGCCTCATAATGAGCTAGTAATAATATGGTTCAAATTCATCTTTGGCGAGAATTGACCTCTCACATAAAAGTAAAGAGAAATAACATTAGATTGTAGTACTAAGTGACAACCTTCTTTTTCATTTAATTCTACAAATTTGCAGTCCTTGTCGAAGAGGAAATATATATTAGTAATTTTGTGGCAAGGTTAATTATGACAATAAATTAAGGGTCAACACAAAATAAGAGTTTAAGCATGCTGTCCTCAATTAATAGATTCTAAAAGCCAGGTGCTGATGAAACTAATGCATGCTGGCTGGAAGCAAAAAATGCAAGGAGTCCCCACATTTTTGGTTGTAATTATATGCCCTCACATAGCATTCTGCTGATGATATAGAAAGGCTGACAAGCAAAGCCACCCAACAGAGAGACTTACATAAAACCAAAACAGAGATGGATTGTCTGCCTTTCTCATCACATACTCTTCTTATCCCCTTATATTTTTGTGGTCACGGTTAATTCACGTTAACATTTTATATTTCCATTGCTTTTTATCTTATTATTTCTATAAAAAAATCAATATAAAATGTTGACGTGGCTTAACCGTGACCACAGAAATAGAAGAGAATGGAAAGGGTATGGGATAGGGAAGGGCAGACAATCCATTTCCAACGAAAACACCATTATTTTGGTGTCTCAAATTTATCATGTTGACACTGATAAGATGTGCTTAATTTATTGATGATCACGTACGCGATAAATCTGGGACACTAAAGTAATTAATAAAAAGCGAAATACATTTGAAACACGAAAACAAAAGCCGAAATAAATTTGAGACACTAACATGAAAGCGTACTCGTTTCACATGAGTTCTTATTTAACAAGCCAGCTACAGTAGGGTTTGAGCTATTAGAAGAAGAGACCACTTGTGGCCACGTGATATTGAATTCAGATGTACCATGAAAGAGTACAGACATGAAGAGAAAGGCAGGCGGAATTAGGTTAGTAATTGTAACACTTTCCGAGTACTTTCCACAATAACAAGCAAAGAATCAATGACTAATCTCGCTTAATTTTTTTTTACTTAAAAAAAATCAAACAACCAACAACAGCTGGCTGCAATTACAGCTACACAATCAATCACATAGAAAGATACACAATTTTTATTCACTGATTTTTTATAAACATAGCTCTCGTTGCTTTTTTGGGCACCCAAAATAGGTAGGGTTTGTGACTTTCCCTTGCAAGATACGGCATCTAAGTGTTTGCAATGAAAAAGGAGATATCATAAAGACGTAAATAGATATGATGGTGTGTCAAGCATAGTCCATCAATCATATTGTACCTAAAATTCATGTGAGGGGTTCACACATATAGGGAATAGTATTCTTTTGGTT